GCGGGCTCCCGGCTGCGGGGGCTCCGGGCTGCAGGCTGGTCTGCCCAGCCTGCGGTGGGTCTCTGTGTCTTGCCTGGAAGTCGCCGCCTCCAGGGAATGTGGCTGGCCAGGGGCGCTGCGGTGACCCGGGGCGGCCTTCGGCGCTCCCCGCGCAGGCGCGGCGGTCAGCTGGGCCCTGAGGTCCCCGCCCCTCTCCGGCCTGGCGCCGCCTGGGCGCCTCACTGCCGGCTGCAGCCATCCGCCTCGCCTGGGGCCGTGGGGTCCCGCCCAGGTGCCGGTGCCTCCCAGTTGCAGGTGTCCCCGACCCCGCGCCCCGCCGCTCTCTGCTGCCCCCCACCCCTGCTGTCCCCCATGGCGTCACGCGCCACCCCAGTCTCTCTGCTATTCCCCGCCCCTCCGTCCCCCTTCCCCGTCCGCCTGTCCCCATCCTCCAGCCCCCCCTCTCTGCTCTGCTGGGCCCCGTCTCCCCACCCCATCTCTGCCCCACCGCCCTGTACCCCGCCTTCCCAGCGCTGAGAGCCCCGGGGGCCCTCGTGGCTCCGTCCGCCCTCCCCGACCCGGAGGTCAGCTCCCCAGGGCTCTGCGCCGCGCTGCCGTGGCCGGGCTCCACCGCGGCCTTTCCAGCAGCAATTGCTCTGCCAGTGTTTTTGTTTTGAGAAAAGTGGGGAGCCCCTTTGGGGTGAGTGCACAGCTTGGCCCCCCTTGCGTCTCTCTATTGTGACCCCGACCTGCCAGGCCCCGACCCAAGTCTGCGCCCCCCAAGGCCTCCTGTGGGCACGGCCAGAGGCCTGGGCCGGCCCTCGCGGCTTTCTGAGAACAGGGCTCCCGAGCTTCCTGAGGGGCGCCCAGAGGCCCCGGCCGGGAGGACTGAGGTGCCCAGAGCTCGCCCCGCCAGAGCGCCCGTCACGGATGGGCCAGCAGGAGCGGCCAGGGGCGCGGGAAGCTGCCGTGTGGCCCGGCCACAGGCTGCCCTCTGGGGTCCCTGGCAGCCTCCCCTGCCCTGGACTTCGGGGCACGAAGAAAACACAGAAGTGGGCGTCCAGCTCGGCTGCCCACGCTGCGGTCTGCAGTGGGTTGTTGGCCCCCCGACAAACCCGGTCTCTGGCGGCCAGGACGCCGGGCCTGGGGGACGCGCCCCCAGCGGGCACCCACACCCGGCCTGGCCAATAAAGGGCGGGCGGGAAGGCTGCGGTCGGCGGTGGGCGGCAGGTCCGCGTGGGCGGGCACTGTGGCCTCCGAGCCACAAAGCGGCCACATGGGCACAAAGCCCGCTGCTGGTTGACCTCCGTGTCCAGGGAGTGAGAGGCCCGCTGAGAGGGTGGGCATCCCGCCGGCGGTGCGTCCCCTCAGGCCAGGGGAGAAGGCCTCCTGACGGTGGGGCGCTGAGCGGCCGCCGACGAGGCCAGCAGTCTCGCTCTCCAGGAAGCCTGAGCAAATTGCCAGAAATAACGATTCCGGCCCCGGACCGGCGAGGCCCCGGACGCGCTGGGCCAGAGGGCAGAAGCCCCGGACAGGCCCGCAGTGGCCCCAGGCCGGGCATCGCCTCAGTGGACGCCTGCGGGTTCGCAGGCTTCTGTGTCCCAAGGCCACTGCAGCACCACCCGCCCGCCCCTTGGTCAGGCTGTGCCCAGGGCGGTGTCCGCGGGGCCAGTGGGAGGGAGCGGCCGCCAACCGCCGAGGTCCGCTCTGCAGGCGGCTGCGGGCCGGACGTGTCGGCCTGGACCCTGCTCTGACTGGACACAGCTCGGCCGCCAGCCCCCGTGCTGCCGCCCGCCTCCGCCCCCACGGGCAGCCGGAGCCTGAGGGACGCTGGCACTGGTGCCTGGACATTGGGCTGCAGAGTGACCGAGGCGCAGCGGAAGGAAGGTTCGGCTGGGAACTCCGAAAGGAGATTACTTTATCTACTTTAAAGACTGGTTATTGAGGCGCACAGAGCCGGGGCGCAGGCCGGAGGTGCGGGGCGGCCAGAGGCTTCGCCGGAGACAGAGCGGGAGCAGGGCAGGCCGACGGGCCGAGGGCGCAGTGGGTGGCCAGGAGAGGCCTGCCGCGCCCTGGCCTCGGGCGGGCACCGAGCTGCGCTCAGTGGCTTCAGCTTCCCCGGCCGCCCCAACCCGCCGCGCCGCAGCGGGGCCTGACACGAGATTTGAGCCTTGCGCAGCCACCTACTAGTTAGAAATTTTATTTAAACATTTTAATGGGTGAAAATGCCCATACTTTCTCTGAAGCCTGGTCTGGTCACCCCTCGGGCCAGGTGGGCAGCAGCCCAGCTGGACTGGGGGTGAGAACCTGGCACCAGCAGCAATGGTGAGTCC